TGGTTGAAAGTTTTGCAAAAAATCCCCGCAGGTTATGTTTTAATTAAATATTATTTTTGTTAAAATAAATACTTATTACTGTGTATTAGTGAAGTTTTATACATTGATATCAGATACAATCGTCATCGAGGCAAATACTTCCAAAATGTAACGCTTCATGCTTTCAACTGTCCCAGGCGTTCATATGTTTTATCCTCCATAATATTGCCCCATTGCCCCCCTTAGTCATAAGTGGCGACGCCGTTGATCAACTCTAATGATTTTTGCCACAGTGACAGATGAAACGTTTGGTTCCGTTCGATCACGCCCTATCAGCAACGATTTTATTCTCTCATTAGTTTTGTCTGAATGTTGCAATCAACTACTAATTACTTCACTTAATCTTAGTATTCAAAAAACATTTTATTGTGAGATTTTCAATAAACAGTTTTACAAAAACGCAACACGTGTTTTGCCATACAATGGCTTCTTATGGCGTGTCTTTTTCTTAACTTACCATCTGCCTCACTACACTGCCATTTTTTCTGAAGAAGTGTTTAGTTAATCCGAGACTTTTTATTGAAAGCGGAAGAAAAAACGTGATTATTACAAATAAAAGTAACTCATCGGACATTCATTTATTCATTCATTCATTCATTCATTTCAGAGTCTGTAACCGTTCGAGCGAAATCTTCAATGTCATGTGCACACCACCATCTGCCGGCAAATCAAATGGGCACTATACACCACGAAGATCTTCTCAGCACGTTGATTCCTTCAATAGATTGTTTGGATCTGCGGATATGAAGAGATCTCTGCCAAGGAGGGCTTCTTTGACCAACCAAGGTAAAAAAATAACACTCTAAACTAAAAGAATCTTTTCAGTGGCGCTTTATTGCTATTAAGCTTTGTTTTTTGTCTCAACGTTGCGTTTCTCTTTTCCAACTAACTAGTCGCAAAGTGAAAAAAATTTTTTTTTTACACTTTTCAAAAATATTTACGTAAATTAAAATTTTGCAAAATGTTATCACTATTCCGATTCAACGATTTAGGTACCTGCTGATTTTTACTATGTATCTAGGTTGCTATCGAATTTGTTATTTTTTCAAGTGGATTGTGAATGTATTTCATCAATTCGGACTTCCATTGTCTAATATAATATAAAATGATATGAAATTCCTGAAAAATATTAAAAAGATTAACCGAAAATAACAATTTTATTTGAACAAAAAAACTGAAATTACAAAGAAAACTCTACATGTCTTCAGCGACACCTCATGAACTGGTTTGTGAGGTGTAGAAATTTTAACTTCCATTTGTCTCAGGCTTGAATGTTGATTTTCAGTCCTTGAATGTTGATTTTCAGTCACCATTTTCTTAGCCTCAGCGATTTCAACTTCAGTTGAGGATGTTGATAGCCGACCAGAGAGAGACAAACCTTCCACTACCACTCATACGCACATGTTTTTAATAAATTCATCTCATCGTGAGTCATGTGCAACATTTTTAGTAACCATTTGCAATGCAAAATTCGAAACTAATTATGTGTTCCATATTTTTATCCATTGTAAAAATCGCAAAACACGTTTGAGGTTAATTAACAAACTGAGTACTGTGATCAAACTAAATAACGGTTATCGTTCAAACTCCGCGTGATTCGACAATCTCTTCACGCGGGTTTCTTAAAGGATCTAGACAGAATGTAATTCCGGTTCAATTTATAAGAAACACTGTAAATGTTTTCAAGGATAACAAAGATTATTGTAGAAATTTTGGCTTTCGCGGCGATCTTTTGGAACTGTTTGTGAATTTGGGATTAAAGGACGTTGTCTGTGATAATTTCTTCCTGACGTTTCGCCAACGTCAGTAACTGGTATCTTCGGAGGTACGTGTTAACGCTTCCAAAGTTGAATATACAGCTGCCGGACTGAGTCATGGCCGCTGAGGAGCCCCTCATCAGTCTGTTAGATTATTCGAGCCGTAAACATCAAAATTCAGAACCGTATTCAGTTAGTGATGGAGTTTAAAAGGAAATTGCATGCAAATATTTTAAATAGTCAAACTCGTGAAGATACGATACGATTTCTCCCACCGGCCATGACTCAGTCCGGAAGCTGAACAGGTTGGCAGACATTACAACAGACGACGACCCCAACACAAACATCTTCAAAAGATTGTCACGAAAGCAGAAAGCCAGACTTTGACTTTCCTATCTAAATTTTGAGATACTAACGTGATATTCAAGTTTCTATATCTAAAACGAAGCTTCAAGGGTGCCAAGGCCAATATCATCTACAGCAACGTACATCCAACCTTGAAAGCGATACTACAGACTTCTAAATACCTATGTCACCCACTCGCGGCAGTGAGAAAGATGTTGGACGAACAGTTTCAACAAAGGTTATTCTATTTTGAGTAGGTCCATAAATGATCTACATCTTTTTCAACAGAAATTAGTATTTATAGTTTTTTCTCATCAATATTTAACGTTCTTTCTTTGTTTCAGATGTTACTAATCGTAATCCAGTGACTGGAAATGGTGTAAAATCTTATGACAGCAAACCCACTAGTCCTCGAATCCATACAGGTAATACATATATTCGGCGTCAATTAATTTCTATAAATTCAATTCCGTATTTATTACATATCCACAAATATTCCACTTTTGAAGAGAAATGATCATTATCGTTCGTTTTTCCGCTTTTTCACTCATCTTTTTCATGACAACCATCCCAACAATCCTGCATCCTCTACTGGTTTGTACAGGTCCCTGGATGGACCTTCTTCCTGAAATACTTTAGGTTGTCCATAAACTATTTGTCTATTGTGATCCAACACCTCATATTCGCTTAAAATATGCATTGCCTGCTCCTAAATGTCCTGAGTAGCCCTGCTCTGTTGAAGCAGTTCTTTGATTCTCTCTCAGACCGTCCATTTATAAAGGTTTTCTCGTATGTATTCCGGATATGTTTTATATACCCCCTTTACAATCTGGTTCCGTACTTTGGTACTCCCACAGCTGGTTCAGGGCCTATATATAGAGTTGATGTCCGCTCAGTTATTAATGTCATTCCCAGACCAGTCTCAATGTCACTTTTGAGTTCGTCAGTACCCGAAGTGCAGCCAGAGTGTCTGTGAAAATATTAATCCGCTCGTTCCATATTCGGATTTCCGACCCGTCAAATTTCAAAATTCTAAAGTCAGCTCACTGTTTTTAATAAACACTATCCTCAGAATGTCAGAGTAACAGTCGTTCATCTTTTTTTTTAGTTGTTGGGAGTCAATATTTTCTTTTCAGTAGCCAGTCCATATGTATTATTACGTCACTGATCATAAGCGAGAGGAATCAACAAATTACATATTCGTCAGATTGTGAAAATGACGTCAATTTCAAACGACGGCAGTGTAATAATTTTTCTTCGATGATCGACATTTCTGACTATCAGGACATGTCAACGTGAAAACAATTAGAAATCAATGCAGAGATCTACAAACTTGAGACGAGATGGTTTTATATAGGTTTTAATATCATAATTAGAAATGTAAGAAGAAGCAAGGTGGATAAACTCACAATGATGTAATCACATATACCTCTCCCCATGTAAAATATTTTGACGAAATCGCTCGATCTGTAGCACTCTATGCTTCTTTGGAAGAACCTCTCTAAATTGTTTTTTCTTTTGTTTCACAGAACGAAACCCAGTCACTGGTGAAAGCTACACCATCATCAGCCCTGCTTCCACTCCAACCAAGCCGATGCAAAACGGATTCGCCCACACTAACGGAACTTCCACCCCTATGCAGAACGGCAACGCCACCCCCCAGTTGAACGGAAACTCCACCCCCAACGGACACGCCTAAACGTTGATACCCCCCCCCCACAAATTTAACAAGAAACCAAAAATCATGCACTAACCAATCCATTAATAGGTTTAGCAACGGAACTGTGGTTTTTGGTTTCCGTAACTTCATCTCATAAATCGAACTTGCTTCCCATATAACCGACCTACCCTGTAGTATTCCGAACCAAACTTAGCGATCGTAGAACTTAAATATATAGGTAACATATTATATATTGTAAGGTTGAAATTGACTACCCGGGCACTTATAAATAACGAAGGGGGTATTTATATAGTGCGTGTGCCTCTTCTAGTTGTATCCTGTTTTCTAAGTGGTTATTTTTCATATGTTGTAACAAATTACTTTGAATTCATTTTCTGATCATGTTTATAGTTATTTATGTATTTAGAACATATATCTAGTGTTATGTATTTATAATCTGATTAAAATAGAAATTTTATACTAGTGCATCGTTTGATTTTACTACCCTACCAAATATATACTCCCCCTCCCCATTGCAGAGGATACAGCAGTCTCTCAAAATGAGATACCATGAAAAAAATATACTCTCAGTACAATTTGAAAAAATCTGAAAGAAAAATAGTCTTTTATTCTCCAATAGGGAATATGATGAAAGAGACGTGAATTTATCAGAAAGCTGTGTTTTCCTCATGAAAAATGAGAATTAAAATTCCCTAATGATTTTATACCACTGTTATATGTAAATAACGTTACGGCAGTTTCGTTCTATGAAGACATTTTCGAACAAATACAATAAACTGAAATAATTAACAACATACACCCTCATATACCTGTACAAACAACTACAGTAGGTAATAACAGATGGTCCTTAATAACTTTATTACCTGAATTTTACTTACCTGTAACAATGTGGGTACGCTAACCTGAAAACCGGCGAGTAGATTAGGTCAATGTGATCATTTAGTAGGTTACATCAACAATGCTTATGTTTATGAATTTCCAAGGATTCCAAATAATTGAGAATCCAACCCTTGCCTACATAGGGCAAAATTCCCGTATCGTTTAGATTAAATGGATTCAACACAGGAACAATCCAGAAAAGACGTTAGCTGTCAAAGTGACAAACAGAATTATTTTCGCTGCGACTAATTTATCGAATTATTTCCACAAAGTGCAGTATTTCTGGTTGATGATCAGCCATTCGCCAGAGGTTAATCTCTCTTATTAGTTATAGTGAGCAAGAACCCTCCAGACCTCAGGTGAGTGCGTCCAGATATATCACTTCAGGAGACTGTTCACAATATTATCGCCTGCCCTTGGGAAATCTAAGGGCGTGAGTCATTCCGATAGCGGTGTGGAGGAACTGCTAGACAGTCTGATGGCAAGGGACAGGGGTGAAGTGATTGGCCTCATAGGCCTTTTGCTTGATCGTCTGGGCCTGAGCCCATCAGAGCTGTTAAAAGTCACTCCTGGGTCGGCGATTACGGAGCCTCCTGGCACCCCACCAGGGGTCGGGGAGCTTCTTGATCGTACTCCATCACCAACATACATACATACTCCCGTCGGCTACACCAATTCTGCACAGCCAGAGACAATCAATGCCATAACAAAGCCGAATGAACTGGCAAAAAAAGAAGCGTAGACTTCCGGAAGACTTTCCTCCACTTCCTCCTTCTTCGAAGCCAGCCTCTCAAACAACGAGAAACTCCGGCGCAAAGCCAAAAAAGGCAAACAAAAAAGCACCTAAATTATGTGATGAAGCACTAAATTTCTCGGAATCGGAGATATCAACAACTGAATCCTCTGTGAAGGGTGATGTAATGACTGATGTCAATATGAGCGATGGCTCTGAAACGGCCTACTTCCACTGTACAGGATGGCCCAAAAAACCAGACAACCCAAAACGACGAAACAAATCAGGTTGGAAATCCCACGGAACAGGGAGCTAGCTCACCTCTCCCTCCGCGCCCTGAGATGCCCCAAAACATCAAGAAAACTCGAGTTCCCCCATTTGTCGTTCGCCAGAAGGACAAGCGGGTTCATTTCACGAAGTTGGCTACCTTTCACAAAGTCAACTATACGAAAGCAGTAAACCTGCTTTTCCACACTTTTCTACTTCCTGAAAATGTCAAAGTCAAAGCCGAAACGTCGAACAACGCAAAATTTTGAACGCGGTTCAACTCGAAATCAGATGTTCAAATTTCTAACCGCGGAAATCTATTCTATTTGTATACTTATCTGGTGATGTTTCGAATACTTTAAACATCTTCATTATTATACCGACGATCAATTTGATATTATCAGTGTCAATGATAATAATGATATCAAATGTATTTACATCAAAAGACTAATCACAACTACATATTATGTTTTGATTTAAATAGGTCCTTCCCAAAATAAAATATTTAAACAAAATTAGTTTTCACCATATTTTGATTATCTTCTCATCATACAGAATATATCAATAGAAAATTTATATTAACACCCCCACTCCGTCGCCTATTAATATTATCTTAAACGTAATATCAGAAAAAACATCGAGCGGTTCTTTTGGCGGTATTTTCGCATTCTTTGTCGGTGTTTTCGCGTTCTTTGTCACATATCCCTATTTTAATGGCTCGTAGCGGCGTCCTCAAGGAATATAGAGGGTAGACATATCTCAATGATTTTGTGGGTGAATTGCAGTGCTATTTGCTTGATACGACTATGTTGCTTTCTTTGATGTAGCGACATGTTTGCATTCTTGAAATTCTTTCACTCTCAGACAATACTGAAAGAACTATAAGACATTTTTGGCGCAGTACTGACGCACAAACCTAATATTAACAACTATGTCTGACAGATATAACAGAACACAAGATTACTTCAAAATGTGTGCAAAAGGTCAAAAAATTAACATATCAAGAAGTTGAAAATATACCTACTCTTGATTTAATGTTGAAATAATTCATGCTGCATAAAATGAAACGTGCAAAAGCAGATTTTTCAATTATAATGGTAATTCAGACTGCATGTTTCCACCCTTTGATTCGATTAGACAATTCCTAAAACAGATTTTGCAGTTCATAACTGTTATTGCAGGAAAGGGTTAGGAGAAACGAAAAAAACATTAATTTTTTTTATTAACCTTCACCAATCAAAAAAAGTTTGGATAATTACAAAGGGACAAGGTACATATTTCATTTCTCAAGGAAAACAAAATAACATAAATGTTATGAGAATTAAAACAACAGCTGGAACATACAAATAACTGTCCCTAATATGATTATTGTCACGATTTCATTGACTGCTGGAATGTTCGCCCAATATATTAATTTGAAAACAAATAAATGTATGGAATTTCAAGACATATAATATGATTTACAACACAAAATCAACAAAATGAAGTGACAGAATATTTTATCAATAATCCATAAAGACCACAGTTCACGATCCCTGGAACAAAAACTATTCTTTTTGATTATCCATTAATTTGTCTTTCTTCGCTCAGACATCTGCACGTCATTTAAAACAAATAAAAAAATGGAGTATGATGAAATCCAGTTGAAAACAACCATTGGCATATTTAATCAACAAAAACATTTGCGGGAAATTTCTAGGAATAAGAAGCAAACGTTACACACTGCATAGTCAGAAATAATGCTTCTACTGTATTCTAAAAATTTTCCCAAACAAGCCAACCAACGGTTATTCTTCTCATGAAAAAATAAGCTACCAATAATCGAAAAAAATCACATCAAACATATAACATTCACATAAGCAAAAGGTACCTGAAAAGGGAATAACTAATTAAAGAAAAATCACACCAAGTGCTGAAATAAAATAATGCTCTGCAATTAAAAAATAACATACATCGTAATATATCTATCACTTGTTCTTAAAAATCACCATGTTCTGTACTTGAATTTGAAAAAAGTTTTCCAATGCCAAGAAGCACCCAGTAATTCTAAATTAGTAGAAACTCCTTACGTTATGGCATGGCAGTGGAGAACTTCAATCAATCAAAGTTAGAAACCAACTATTCTCAATATATATATATTTATATATTTTTCAACAATTTACCTTAATGACTAGACAGGAAGGTTGTTTTTAATATAACAGTCCATAAGTTTATAATTGATTTTTGCGCTTTATATATTTCCTAAAATTTAGCGCCTTTTCCTATAACTAATATTTTTTATAGCAGATCAGGCTTCCAATACATTTTTGGTGCATCCGAAAATTGTTGCCAATTGATCAGGATTCGAATAAAGTTGAAAATTTTTAAATAACTGTACGAGTAATGTGCTCGTTTGCAATGGAGTACGAGAATGTTGACAGTTCATCTTTCAACTGCCACAAATACCAACTGAACAGGTTTGTACTCCACATACAAACGTAGCAATGAAATGCAATATTGAAAAAATGTAACTCAATCTTTTGAATAGGATCACATATTATTTACATCTTTGCAAAAGTAATTATGAAAGAAGAAAGCAGAAATGAAGGCTTTACTGAAGATTTAATTTCAATCCTATGAAGGCGTAGAAGGGTCAGCAATGATTTTTTGAAAACTAGTGAATTCTTAGTTTAAATTTCAAACTTGGCATTGAATGAAATTCCAATTTCAAAGCCAGAATTTGATGAAATTCCGAATTTAAAAGTAGGAATTTAATGACATCCTTAAAAGTCCAAATTTAATGAAATTTCGACATTGAAGTCGGAACATAATGTAAGTCTGAGTATAAAATCGGAATTTAACAAAAATTCGAGTTCAAAATCGAAAATTATCAGTTTTTGAAACACTAAAATAAAAGTCTGAGTGCAAAATCCGTATTTAAATCAGAGTTCAAAGAGAGAATTTCACAGAAAATCTAAGTTTAAAGTTGAAATTCACCAAAATTTCCGAGTTTGAAGCTGGATTTTTTTTAATCAAATTTCAAATCATTTGAACAAAGTTGTTAAAAAATGCAAGAACGGGTTAAGAGTCCATAGTTAATGGAATTCAGGGTTTGTAGTCAGAATTTAACAGAGACCAAAATCGAAATTCAACAATCACGAAAATTTGTTGGATTCCGACTTTAAACTGGGAATTTAGTTTAATTTTTAGTGCAAAATTCAGTAAATTTTATTTTAAAAAAAATGTAAGGAACTTCTGTGAATTATCTCTAAATAGTTTTCAACTTGCAATTGTTAGATTATCATTTCTCAACATAATTATTTTAAAACAAAAAAACAATACGAATTTCCTGAACATTATGAATTGGTTTTTTGTTTTTATTACACAGAACTTGGTTTTCCTTTCATTCTCAATTTTATTTTATTAACCATAAAAATAAAAACACTTCAACAGATTTTTTTTTATATGAAATGAAATGTTTGAAGGTGCTGAAGAACTTAGAAAGACTTTATTTTATATTCGACGCCGACGGTTCGAACTTTCGATTATCTATAAGGAACAGTTCAAACTGTAAATTAACAATAATCGACAATTCAACTGTCAATTTTGGCTAACTACTAAATAGTCGACAGTTTGAACATTCGTGAGTTAAATGCAATCATACCTTGTATCTGTTCACCAAACAGATGGAGTTGTAAAAGGACATGACCTTTGCATGATTTATCACAAATTCAGTGTTATTGTTATTGACAAATAATTTACTTCTGTCTTTTTCGTTCCAGCTAACTTACATTTTCCCTCTTACTTGCTCAATCATGTCATGTGCTCGTTTTACTTTCAAAAATTATCAAACACATAGTGGTGATATGAAAATTTTTGTGTAAATTCAAATTTCTTGGCAAAATTTCTCAACATATTCTGTTTTGATGGTATCATATACATCTGGAAGTTTACTTTATAGACATGCAAGAAGCAAATGATTCACCACCTGTTCGGTGAACGAACAATAGTACAAATACATGTATATGAGGCTACTGTATAATTTAGCCTGTCTACAGGTTAAAAAAAATCTGAAATACGTATTGGATTCGGTATTAAAATTGTATACCTTCATCTTTTATTTGACAATGTCAAAGGTTATGTTAGATAATCTATTCATTCGCAAATTTGCACATGTGTGCCTAGTTGAATAGCATACTGAAGCTGTTAGATAATATAAATTTTAATTACCGTTTTTATCATCTTTTCCCATTTGTTATTCATGAAAAACTAACATCAGCTGAGAGAATGTGACAAAAAAAATTGGAAAAATATAGGTTGCCTACGTTCTGCCTAGGTTTGAACAGGTGACTCAGCAATATTATTAATATACCCCTAATAATGTTGAGTTTTAAACGTGATCTCTGTCATCGTCAAATAAGATGGGGGTATATATGTTCAACACCGGATCTAAGACTATAATACTTGACATTTATACTCCAAGGTAACGTTGACAGGTGAAACAATAACCTCAAAATTGATTCACCCTCAAAAATTCAGAACTTTCAACATAAACTTGCTGAAAAACCTAAAGTATCATTTCAAACTACGTTTTGCAAAGATGTAAAACAGCTTGATTATAAATACTTGTAGCTGCTGGACTTGCATAATAGAAATATTTTTGTAGGTTCCAAAATCGTATAAATGTGAAGTAGATAGCAAGTTTTCTTAGCAGAAGGAAAATACTCAAGAATTAAAAGGTGAATTTGTGCTCAAGATGAAATTGGGAAAACTGTAAAACTCATGTATGTCCTTAATCTACACGTGCAATATGTGATTTATAGTAGGTGAGACGGGTCAAATGGAAAACCTGTATTTAATTTCAAGTAATTCGACTAAAAGATACACTTTTTCGTAAATCCGTAATCCTAAAAACGTGTATTGTTTTAGATTTCAAAAATCAGAAGAGTTCGCAGTATTCTAGTCGCAGTAATAACTATTTTCGCCATAGTTGTTCAACAAAGAAACACTTCTGTAAATGTGCGTCCAAAACATAACTCAAGTTAAGGTTATACATTACAATTTCTCTGGTATTTCGCAAAATAGAAAACTTAACTTTCAAAATAAACTTGTATCGGTTAACAGTATCACGTTGCTTAAAATTTCTCGTGAAATATTTTCAGTCGCTGGAAAACTTGCTGCGTTCGGGAACCATATAAAGATCTACAAATGAACATCAAAACGTGGCAATATTTCATGAGATGTATTCGCGAAAAAACAAACAAACCCATTGATGAACTATACACCTAACCTTAATAGAACAATGCAATTATATACAAATAACCGGGAACAATTGCTGCACAATTTAAATATACAAATTCAGTGTGAACTGACTTTGAGGTGCTGAAGCTTCTGTCCTGAGAGGATTATGACTTCTGGAGCGCCTAAAATATCACACAGAGGTTGGTTTCGATCAAAGAAAAAAGACTTTCTCGATCATGTCGGAATGTTTTCGAGATGGAATGTTTTCAGATAAGTTTTTACCATTATCAATGACCAAAGCCATATTTTTCACAAAGATCAATTCAATCGTAATTTCTTATGTGATATCATCAAACATTTGTGCATTGCCTTTGCAATGATTTTGCAGAGGCGCACACGTATACCTATCATCATAGATATAATAACATGTTTGTCTGGCAAATCTAATAACATTACCCCCTCCCACAATTCATTACATTGAATCATCCTTCGGAGATGGTTTTGAAATTATTTAAACATCTGGCAGATGCAGCTTCATTGACGAAATTATTTCAAACAGAAAATAGAGTTTTTGCAAACAAATGGAATTTTCGCTGCAAAATATTTCTGTATTGATAAATTTCTATAGATACAATAGTAACTCTTGTTGTATTTCAATGAGAATTTGAAGCTATAAAAGATTGAAACAAATTAAATATGAAGTGATCTTGACTTTTTCCAATATTCTATTGACAGAAGGAGGTTTGTTTTTTTACAATTATGAATTGTCTCAATTTAGTTTTAGGTGACAGGATATGAAGGAATGAATTAATTCACCATGACCACTGAACGAATCAAATTAATTATGAAAACGTCTGCAATAATGCATGTATGACGTATTACATCAAGTTCATTAGTTACACTTTTTCTAAATAGTTGAATAATAACTGTCATCTAATTTATAACATATATCGACATATTAAAAAAGGTTTCAAAACAGTATTCTACATTGGAAGCATACTGAAGATTCAATGTAAAGTTCAGTCACTTTTAATGAGAAACGAATATGGATTACCAAGTACACTGTTTTCTTCAATACGATGCGTAGGCATGGCAGAGGCATTATAAAACTTTTAACCTATTTAAATTGCAACTCGTTTAAACGGACGTGTTCAAACAGCTAACAAGTTTCAATCATCAACGTGTTTAATCATCAGTTTATTTTAATCATCAACGTGTTTAAATCGTCTATTCGTTTTAATCGTCAATCAACATGTTTAAATTGTCTATTATTTTTAATCGTCAACGTGTTTGAATCATCAACTCATTTTTATCGTAAACACAATTAAATCGTCAATGTGTTTAACTGGTCAACACGTTTCAATCATCCATACGTTTAAATCATTAACGTGTTTAAACAGTCAACTGGTTAAGTCCTCAACGCATTTGAATAGTCAACACGTTTAGTCAACGCTTTTAAATCAGCCACGTGTCCAAATCGCTTACATGTTTACAAGTATCAACGTGTTTAAATAATAGACACGTTTGAATCGTCAACACATTCAGTTAGTCAACGTGTTTTAATCGCATTTCAATAGTAAACGCAATTTAATAGTCAGCGTGTTTAAATCGTCAAGCGTTTAAACAGTCAACTATCTCAACGTGTTCAAATAATCGACACGTTTGACTAGTCAACACGTTTAGTCAGTTAACGTGTTTAAATCATCAACGTATTCGAATCATAAACGCAATTAAACAGTCAGCGTATTTAAATCGTCAAGCATTTACTTGGTCGACGCATTAAAATCACCCACGCATTTGAATCGTTAAGGGCTTGAACAGTCAACTGTTTAAATTCTCAACTCATTTAGATAGTCTACATGTTTGAGTGGTCGACACCATTAATTCGCCAACGTGTTTGAATAGTCAGCATGTTTAAACAGTCAGCGTGTTTGAATCGTTTAAACCGTTAAAGCATTCAAATCGTAAACGCGATTAAACAATCAACGTGTTTGAATCGCCAACGCTTTCAGCTAGTCAATGTATTTTAATCTTCAATGCATTTAAACAGTCAACGTATTTAAACCGTTGATGCATTAATATCATAAACAGTAAACGTGTTTCAATCATCAACGTGTTTGAGGTCAACGTTTTAAATTGTCAAGACGTTTGAACAGTCGAAGTGTTTAAACCGTTAACCCATTCAAATCGTAAACGCGATTAAACGTGTTTGAATCTTCAACGCGTCTGAGGTCAATGTGTTTTAATCGTCAAAGCGTTCAATTCTTCAACGCATTTGAATTGCCTTTATATTTGAATTGAGAACACGTTCAACAGTCCTCGGGAGTCCTCGGCTAAGAAGGAGGAGGAGTTTAAAAATCTGTTTAAAATCTGTTTTTCCGTTAACCAGCTGTCGCACCCCTACGAACGACAACCCTCAGAAGTCGAAACTTGTGCGAGCTAAGGATTAACGAGGTCTTACCTTTTAACGTGTGATTCCTAACACGGGTTGGACGATAGCAAGTGAAGATCGATCGTTCAGACTAGGGCTTGAACCACCGACCAACACGGCAGTCAATTCGTGTGAGTGAACAAAGCACCCATGCCGAACCGCTTGGCTATCGACCGTGATAGCAATGAGTAACTGCATGTTCAGTTCACATGATTGTGATCACGGTATTGAGGGTAGTAACCCACCTATTGAGAAAGTGTAAATGCTAATGAGTTTCATCACACGAATATCAATAATGCAGTCTTTATTAGTAATGCTCTGAACCCGTCTTTATCTTCGAATCTCATCGAACCGGTGCATAACCAAGGACAGGTTTCAAATCGCCAATGAGTTTAAATAGTTTGATACTACAAATTCCGTTCGACAACGACTTACCAGTCATATTTTCTTCTGTCTTATGCCTATGTTCTTATATTCACGTTTGTCAGAGAAAATATGCCTGTCTTAATCTGAAGTGTTTTTCCAAGTGAACCTCTGGGTTTCGAGAACAGAAAAGGATTACTTTCTGTAAAGTAAATATAAATTTTGTTTTTTTTTGTGGAGTTTTAGACTTTTCAGTGGTTCATATTGCACAGTACCTTTTCAGGATGAACTTTTTAGTTTGCCCTTCATTACACTCCTGTAGATTCTGTATTGATTTGGCTTTGATTATTTATCTAATTGAGAAAGATTAAATTTCCAACAAACAGCAAGATATATTCAAATATCTTTGGCAATAACAATTTGTTAATTGTTAGACAATTCAACACAGTTAATTTACCGATTGATTTATTGAAAAAATATTTCAGTGAAATAAATTTTGAAAACAATGTTGAATCTGTCCATCCCTCTTATCGAAACCAACCTCCGATGAAACCTCAACTAGAAGTTGGATGACCTTTCGTGGCCATAGTCTATTATAATAGTATCTTTTGTAAGCTCAAGCTGCGTCATATAATGGAATTTCCATTCCACATTACAACGGACGATAAGCTTTATAAAAGATACTGATATAGAAACCTCAATCCTTTTGAGCCAGCAACCCTCTACGCGACCAGCACTCACAACTCACCTGCGAACCTCAAAGAACGCGCAACAGTTCACCGCATATCACCACAGCGACTCGAACTGCATATTCGCAAATCCCGGATTCTTGCGCATGTCCCAGTACTTGCCGTTGTACTGCCAAGCGTCCTGTTGCGGCGGACTCGAGAACCATCTCGGCTCATACTCGACGTTCAACTCTTCGCGGCGTTTCCTCCTGTCGCGCTGCATGCCCTCAAGTTGCAGCTTCAACGTTTCGGCCGTGGAGAGGTCGCCCTCTTCGAGGGCGCGCTGGTCGGGCCGAAAGCGTGTATCTGTGGGCGGCAGCAGGTTTGCTTCGGGACCGAGCTCATTCAGCTCGATGGCGAAGCGCGTGAAGCCGTAGTAGCGTTCGTGGTTGGGGGGCAGAGTACCAGCACGCCAGATGCACCGAGCAGAAGGGGCGACGCCACAGTACAGGGATTCCGACCATTTGCCGAAGAGGCGGCGGACCGGTTGGCCTGATTCGTCGTAGACAGCGCCGACGACCTAGTAAAAAAGAATTAAAATTCTGACATATTTGCAAGAACTACGAAACAATATAAAAAAAAAAAATTTTTTTAAACGTTCCTAACAACGTTGACACAAATTTCAACCCTCAATATAAAGGTATACATAAACGTTTGTGAACAAACGCAACTGAAGAAATTTTGATCTTGAAATAAGTGACAAAAAATAAGCCAAAAGCCATGTGTGAATAAACAGTGACGTTCAGAAAATATTCTAGTCTTTTCTATCCAACAAACTCCACTCACCTCATGCCGCTTCGCCGACCAATAACTAGCCTTCGCAAACGTCAGCTTGCAAGTGATCCTCCCGTTGGTGATCCTGAGCTCTCCATACTGATCAACCCATCTCTGCCCGCTGAACAAGTTGTGCACGCAAGTCGTCACCTTGTTCCACGTGTACAGATCGCCCGTCTTCGGCAGAAGAACGTTCACGTTGCCGAGCGGCTGGAACTCCATGCTCTTGCCCCAGAACTTGGTCTTCACCCTGGCGTCCTGCCAAAAAGTGAAGCTGGGACTCTCCGCGTAGCAAGCCCCGATCGGCGGATGATGCGACACCTACGATGTAAGTAATTGATAATAATAATAATAATAATAGTAATTTATTGGTAACTGGTAACACAAGAGGTAACTGTGGTGAAAAACTCTCTCCGCGGCAAGTATCAGCACAAACTTCGACAGATCTGGTCATCAGAACTGTCGGGGAAGAACAAAGTTGCTGCAACAAATATGCTAGCCGTTCCAATCTTACTCTACTCGTTTGGAGTAGTGAAGTGGGCTCGGGAGGAGCTGTATCAACTCGACGTAAAGACCCGAAAAATGATGCATCTCTATAGGAGTTTGCATCCCAAATCGTCCNCAGCGAACTCAAGCCGCCCATAAGAAATACTGTACTACACGTACACGGACGTTCACAAAAGTCAAAACGGGCGTCTGCTGTCAACTTGCTGCTGATCTCCGACGAGATGTCATCGCCTCATCCGCCGTACATGAACCACTAACTTGCAGTCGTCCCCAACCGCGTACACCGTCGTGTACTTTTTCTCATATTGGTCTCACAGCGTTCAATTTTTGGTTTCAAAATTTTAATTAATTCATCAAAGGAACTAATGGACATTCTGAAGTAATTGAAAAATTTGTTTTCGTCTTGCCGGAGTTTATCAAATAAAATATAAAATTTTATTTCCTGTTGTCGCGCAACCAGAAGTGGATGTACCCAAAACAATCGTACCTTCCTACAAATTCAAATTTTTTATTTGGTTCATAACAAAGCTACAGCTTTAGAACATGTCACAAAATACCATCAAATTAACATATGCCAAAAGTAAAATATAAAATCTTCAGAAGATACAGTGCAATAAAAATAATAATACAGTACATACATACAATTGTGAAAGGCATCTTTGCTCTATGGTCCAGGAAGTGAGTGGAAAAAGTCATTAATACCATATAGGGGATTTTCCGTAAGTAATGTCTTCAAATGTTTTTTGAATTTACATAGTTCAGAGAACGTACTGTAAGAGGTAGGGCATTGTAAATTTTAATATCAATAGTATCGTCCATTCTTAGTAACCGGGTTTGTGGTAAAATCAAATTATCTTTATTTCTAGTATTGTGACCGTATATATCGGACCCAACAGAGTAACTATTAATGTTTTGTTTCACATATAGTAACTTTACAAAAATTATCAGAGAGTAAAGTGTCATTATTTTCAACGTTTTAAAGATTGGTCTTCTCCTTCTCCTCAAAATAAGAAGTAGTAGTGCTTCTTCTTCGAAATCCAGTTTAAAACTGGCACTAAACTCTGACACCACATAATATAGATGTCAGTTGCCTCAACTGCAAGTGCGGTTTATATGACCGCAAGTCGATCACAAAGATGTGGTTGGGTCAACCGCGAAGTGCAGTCAACGTGGCCACAATGTTGTGGTTGTCTCAACTGCAAATATGTGGTCCATGTACGGCCGGGCTTAGATGAGTTTGGCTGAAGCCTCCATTTATTAAACCAGTCATTGTTGCAAGATGTTCCCAATTGTTAATAACTTTGTCTAGTGATTGGATGGATCGTGCACAATTAAGGCAGTGTCATCACTCAAAGTATATTTACTCATCTCTTTTTTTTTCTTGATTCATACTTATGTTATAATTTTGATTTATTTCCCTATTATAAACGCGTAAATTTCTTGAGAGAATAAATCGTTGTAATCAATATAAAAATTGTTGCTAGGATTAGTGTATAATATTTCATGAATAAAGTTTTGAAGACATGAGCTGTCTTTCCCAGTTTCGCTCCGTGTTCTGTGTTTTTGATCATTTTCACGACGTTTCGGCAAAGTCTCATTTGCCATCTTCTGGAAATGTCTGGAGTGTAGACCTGGACTGACTCTCTGGAACTCTATTTCTTAATTCATAGAAGTGGCAGGTGCCTTACATCTGAATTGTTCCCCTGCCTGTTTATCATTATGTCTGAATTATCACGTGCTGAGTGTTGCTCTGCGGTCTGTTTCATTTTGTGAAGAGATACAATGGATCTCCATATTGCTGTTAATCTTTGTGCGTCATCCCTCTTACTCATACTCCTGGGTCGTTTCTTGACTGAAATAGCATCTCTGATTGTTCGAGAGTAGAAGTTTTCATTGCTTGCCAATGTTTTTGTATTCTAGAAATTGATGTGTCCTGTCGCTAATATGTATTGGACGAGAGAAGACATGGTGACTTTTCCTTTCACTGATAATTTGTGTTCATTATTGCCTACGTTGATTCGCCTGTTGGTCTGACCGATGTTAGTCTTGTCACAATCTTGACATGGTACTTTGTAAACTCCTTGGAACCCCAGTGGTACCTGATCCTTTGGATTACGGAGCGTGGACCTTCTGATACGAATTGTGTTGTTATGTTGTGTTGGTGGAGAATTCTGCTGATTTTATCTGTGGTATAATTTTCTCTGAGTAGACATTCATTCGTAGAGTTGTCTTGATGGTGTTCAACTCTTGTTGTCTGCGTTTGTTGTCTGCCAGCCTCCTTGAACGTGTAATTATTGATTTTGCCACAGAGCGTATTTGTTTTGGGAGGTGGTGTGGATTTGCGTTCAGGTATCTATTGGTGTGTGTTACTACCATATACTGTGTGGCCTAGTGTACCGTCCGGCTTTTTCATGATCAAAACCTTGAAAGTTATTGGTGTCCATGTGACCAAATCACAAAAATAAAAGAAAGCTTTATAATGAAGTACTTATAATTGTATTTATTTCTCTTTTATTTCTTATTAATTACTGAAAGTAAAGCACTCAGCCTAAAAATAATCCAAAACAAAAAAAGAGGCGAGTCCTATAAAAAAATATGCTACCACATACCTGCTCAGCGATGAAGCGGAAACCCTTGTCCTCCCTCGTACACTCATACGTCTCACCAAGGAGGGGATTGAAAGGTTTGTTTCCGGCCCGACTGAGGGTACTCGCGTAGGCAGAGACAGCGAACGCCGCGATTTCCACCATCCTCTCGTAAGGATCGTCTATGCCTGCGGCTTTGTCCAGTAGCTCAGAGTACTCGAGCTCCTCACAGAGTCTCTGCAGGACATTTAGGGGTTCGTTTAGGGCTACCGGCATGCTGATTTGAGAGAGGTCTTTGCCTATGTTACGACTGAGTAGGTTCCACAGCGACAGGCCTTCTGTGATGGGGCGAGGGACGGGGAGGACGGTTCGGCGGCCAGTCAAACCTTGGCTTTCTGTAAAACAAATAATGATAATTGAGGATTATTTTCCTTCAGTACTACATATATTATATAGGTTCAGTCAAAGTATAAGATGTTGTAATAGCTTAGGATAAAATTGAAACTACGGACACAATACACTTGAAAATATATATTCAGTTAATAAAGTATTGAAAATGTGGTGCAGGTGAACTGTAGAATGAAGAGATTCAAAGTAACATCGATGAAATGGGAGTGTACAGTTATTGTCCAGTNCATAAAAACTCACTTTAGATATTAACAAAAGTTATAGATAATTTAATTCTCTAAAATATTGATAATAAATACAATTAGCATAAAACCCATTGGAAACGAGATATTGGCGAAAAACGTGCAAAAAGTCGTGTTTTTTGACGTTTGACCCCAAATTTTTCAAGTTGCGGCCGTCGAATCATATGTGAATTTTGAGAATACTTTTATGATGCCAAAATACAAAGTTTATACAAATTTACAGCTGGGTATCTCCACTTTCCTAGGCAAACTCCCTAAAATGACTGGACTATTAGGCAGATAGAAATTAGTAAGACGTTGGAATTGGTTTGATGGTCATATTGTTGATTGTATGATATGATGGACAAGAAAATGGACTTTTACAAACATTATAATAATATTATAAACAAGGCAACAAAAATGCTGGGCTTTATTTGTCGTACTTTCCCAAGCACTTCTTGAATACTGAATGTATAAATATGCTGTATTTCACCCTGTTAAGATCAGTCTTAGATTATTGCACTTCCATTTGGTCACCCACTTATGAAAGTCATCCCCTTAAAGGGGGGTACAAGTTAAACTTTGGGATATCGTGGTATAACCCCCACAGCACAACTACTGTCCTGAATCAAAAACCAATTACCTACCTCCGGCCTCCATACTGTTCGCTGTGTTCATTTCGGTGCCCAGTTCCGACTCGGAGCTAATGCTCCCTTCTCCGCTCGACAACGAGCCCGCTTCCGAGCTGCTCTCTGACCTCGTGCGCACCTCGGACTCCTCCTCTCCGGCTTCATGGTCAGCGAATCGGGGCGCTTTGTCAGTCGGCAACTCTTCGGCATCGAAAAATTCGGTCGCACTAACGCAGGAAGAGCTGTAGCTCAGCGAGACGTTGTTAGTCCGTTGTTGCTGATAGAAAAAAAAAGCGGGTGAAAAATGAAAAATCTATGGAATCGGAATACGATTTTGGTGGATCTTGTCAAAAAAGTACAAACAGATTTCTTTTAGAAGTTTCGAGTTTTTTCATGTCGCTGAACTTTCATGTAAAAAAGGTTTAGGCACACTATATGACTTCTTCTCATTCAAAGGGAACTAAATGCTAATTTTGCGGAAATGAAGTTTCAATTTTCTTCAGTGATGTATATGCCAAGGGGAATCTGGACCTAAAGGAGTTGTGTGTCATCTTTTGTTCTTTAAAGTGGTATAGACTATGTATTCTTTATCATACTTAAAAACAATCTTCAGTCTATGGAAAAAAACAGTTTTGTTATTTTGAAAAATACTATAGTCGAAATTATCAATCTTTTAAGAGAGGAGAAAGGTGGGAAAAGTCAGAGGAGGGAGAAAGAAAGAGAGAAAAGATAAAAATGAAGAGAAAGTAGGGAGGAAAGAAGATATAAAGAGAGGAGGAAGGGCAGGGAAAGAACATATAGAAGTGAAAAAGAAGAATAGAGAAAACATAAAAGAGAGTAAAGAAAAAGAGAATAAGAAAGAGAAAAGAGAAAAAGAAGATAGAAAATTAAGATAAAAAAGATGAGAGGGAAGAGACAAGAAAGGGAAGAGGAGAGAAAAGATAAGAGAGGTTGGAAGAGAAGAGAGAGAAAACAAATTAGAAACCCTGCAAGAATATTAGACATCTATGGGGGTAGTTTTTAAATACTTTTTGGTAACTATTTCATATCTTCTTTAAACTTGGTCATATTCAAGTGATTCAGCGATGCAATAATTCAAATAGAAAGACTGGTTACGTTAGGTATCGATTGGGTACCTATGGATTGAAAAACAGGTCAAATTATGTTTATCCTTTGATCAGCCATCGTACCCATACCAACAACAACCATCAGAATTCAAAACTTTCCAGCTGCAGATTAACGGGGTTTCACTTTTTAACGTGCGATTCATATCACGGAACCCGTTGCTGTTTTCACTCTCGAATACAATTACCATAATGAAAATTTACCGATCCCAAAAAATTGTTAAGAAAGCTTCTCTCGTATTATCGCACTAAAATTGCTAGCTTATCATAAAAGTAAAGGGTAACAACACTGATTGGGCCCCTAAACACAAACGAAACCCACAACAATGGACGGGCCTACTTACGTTATCAGACAAGTGTTCCACTGACGACAAATCAGTCAAATCCGACGCTTCGTGAATCCTGACGAGCCTGCTCCTCAAATCCGAATTCTGTTGGAGAACCTGATTCAGATTATTCTTTAAATTTACTATGTTTTGATTACTAACGCTAGCAGGAACTTGCACTTCTGTTTCTAGGGCAGACTTCAGCCGTTCTCTTTCCGTGCTCAAACCGAAAGTGAGCGTTTTCATGCTCCCTATAACTAAAAGAGAAAACGAAACATAATTTATGTATACACCATGTTTCACATATGGAATGAAAACTGTTGAAAAAAGTCTGTAAATAAATCTTATTTTCCATATTCCCTATATCACCAAGAAACATACTATGTACCATTAAAATAATTACAAAATGCACGAGGGTCATCATTCATTCTGTTCAAACTTATTGGTATATAACATCTCATTTTTCCACTTTTCATTTTATACTCTTTGCGAGACAAGTTTTAACTTGTAGATTATAACATACCAATTATTTAAAATTTCCCTTTTATATTTTCACAGATCTGAGATTCTTCTGTGCAGTCTAGAGTAGTCCAAATGTATCAAAATCTATGTTACGGCTAGACGTCCACTAGTTCTGTCCTTCTTTTGTTCAGTCATAGACTTAATACGAAACTAAATGTAAAGACTGCGATGCAAAATATTATGGAAAGACAAAAATATCTATTAGAATAAGATATAAGAAACACTTAGCTTAACTATAATATGGAAGATCAGAGATATCTACAGTCGCCCATCATATTTGCAACAAAATCATTTTATAGACTTTAGTTCATTAAGATTAGTTAGACAAGTTAATAATAACAGGCATCTAGATGCCTACGAGAGTGTAGAAATAAGTAAACATAATGATATTATGAATAACGATGGTGGACCAATACCTAATAATATACAATACAACTTATTGAAATAATATTTTAATTAACAGATTTACCTGACTATTACAAAGAACACATTGTGATAAGTAGATAAGGCAATATTAACACAAAATAAACCTTTTCCTTTTCAATTTTAAATGTGAGTTATAACATATCCATTGTCTAAATTCAAATTTTTATTTTCACAGATCTGAGATTCTTCTGAGCAGTTTGCAGTAGTACTACAAATAAATCATAATCAGAATGTGGACACCTATTCAAAGTCCATATTGTTTATTTTTGTTCATGTTACCATTAGGTATACAATAAACATCAACTAGTATTCTTCTTCTTTTGTAATACTCGTGTTTCTCATAGTGATTAAAGTAGAGTAAGAAGTGAGGTAATTACAAAGACATCTATTTTTAGTAATGTCATACTTAGAATCGGTGGGCTCTGTGTATATGTTTGAAGGAACTGATGGAACAGGTGGTAACATTGCCTGGGTTGTGAATTAAAACCAATTCTATGTGTGAAGGATGAAATTTTGAAAGAGCTTTTCTGTGCCTCACTTGATTAGAGAACATGTAGTGGTGATTAGTACATTTTTTGAGAATCATCAATCAAAATAAATTTAAATTTTTTGAATTCTGTCAGACAAAAATCATCAAAATCACAATATCACAAAAAATCTGGCTAGCTCAGCTGATAGAGCTTAAGACTTAATCTCAGGGTCGTGAGTTAGGGCCCCACGTTGGGCGCCAAATACTTGTACCGTTTCCTTACTTGTAACGCAAGAAAGCGCTACCTGTGCCCAGTTGGAATGACTAGCTCTTGATTTGCGAAGAAGAAATTCAATTATATGTGCTGAAAAGGGTTACCATTCGGACGCAAACTACGGAAATTTCAGGAAAACTTTACTCCTTTTCAACACTAGTCACTGTAGAGCAACTTAGTTACACCAGGATAAGAGACACTTCAATAATACTAAAAAAAACAAGGAATACGGTTTACTTGAGAGTTTTAATAGGGTTTTGCGTCCCTACCTTTGAAATGAATGAAAATATTAAATTATCACTATCGAACATAAATTGTCATTGGATAAAGAAATCAGAATGTTAAGTTCCTAAAATTTTCTACTCTTTCCAATGGTTGCTTTAATAGGAAATTTGACAAAATACAGGGTCTTACCCTATAGTTTAATGCACTGAACCTCAAAACTTCTGATTGAAATCCTATTTCCAGCTGTTGTTTTATTTTAAATTTTTGGAATCCGACTGATAACCAAATGATGCAGCTGAGAGGTCAGAAATTTTAATTGTTTTCTCATCAAGCACAGGAGTATAAGACAAGGCATTTAGGGAAGGCCTTAATATACCTTCCATTGTTGTAGTATTTGAGAAACCTTCCTTATCTTCAAAAAAAAACGTTCCCACATTCTCAAGCAACTCATAATTAGACCCTAGAAAATTATTGTATAATGATATTGAGTTCCTAAAATTCGAAGAAGGTATCAAAAGAAAGTCATTTTTGTTAAGAAAAACAGAGTTTTTGGCATTTTCCTTGGGTGTATTGAAGAAATCTTAGATGGTCATCAAAAACTAAAGAAGGTGCTTCTCCAGACTCACTGAATGTGTAAATTTTCACAATACTATATTTCTTTCCAACGCAAGTTCAGAGTGAATACGGGTGAATGTATAACCTAGAAATGTGTGTATTTGTGATTCAAATCTGCAGTTTAGTATGTTAATAATCAAGTCCTGTCCACCGTTGGTCAGTTATTATTGACTTATTGAGAACTTCTGCAAGTCATATTCAAATTACTTAAACAATTTTCTGTTTAGACAGATCTTGCCTTGTAGTTGAATATAACGTAGTGAACAGTTGAAATTGGCTGAATTTTTTTTTTTAAGTGAAACTAACCTTGCTTGGCCAAAGTGATGAAATCGTCCCTCATTTGATTTTCAGCAGACAGAGATATTACATCTACATTGCTTAGGCTATCGGGCATTGGTGCGCTAACAGAGGCATTCATAGGAACAGGCAAAGAACAGGTGTTTGTAGCGTTGAGTTGTGGTGCGGAAGCGGCAGCGGAAAACGAGTTTGCCTGTAAAAAAACAAGTCAATTCAATTAATGTCGAACACGGCAAGGAAATGTTTACACTGCTAAATAACCACAAATTATTATCATTAACTTATGATAAATCATCATTCGTGTTCATCACACAAAAATGTTCATCTTATAATTTAAATCAATCTATTAAATATCACAATAAAATTATGAACTATTCAACGTCTGTCAAGTTTTTAGGGCTTTACATAGATGAAAATTTATCGTGGATTGGAAAATCTCCCATAATTGGTAAACTCAAAAACTTCTTGACAATAAAATATTCATTTCTCTTTAGTTCATTCGAAACTGCAGCAGTTGATATTACTTTGAAGAGCAGCTTCATGAAATGTATTTTCAAATTATATTATAAGGAACTAACCTGATACCATTTATATGCAAAAAAAATCAATAACTGTTTGACAACTGGTACAGAAAACCCTTTTTTTCTAGCTTTACTTCTAGAGAAGTATGTCGAAGATTAGAAGGAGCTCTGGGACTATTTTGAAGATAAAATTAATATAGACATCTGAATAAAATATTTTTCCAAACGAAAATTTACGTTATTTTGTGAATATTTCTCGTATATACAAATCCTCTTACATATATACCTATAAATAAATATACTCACAGAAAGAGGTGAAGTATTATCAGTATCGGTGCCAGTGGTAGATTTGTTCCCACTAAACTGGATTGTCAAATCGACGCTACCTCCTTTCGAAGATGAGGATTTTTTCTTTTTCAAACCAAATTTCCTTCGATCCTTCTTAACGTTCGGAGACAAAGCTTCAATAGCTGTCTGAAAATGAACATACTTGTTTAGAAAAAAAATTAGCAGAATGACGATAAGACTAACTGTAATACTGATAGAAGTTTGTGAAATCACAAAAATCGAGTTAAATGTAAAATTAACAGCATTTCCAATTTTCGGCATTTTTATTTACGATCATAAATCAGTTACGAATTTAATGGTAGACATAGCATTAGCCTGAAAGACACGTATTCATTCAAGAAAAAAAACTCACCTCTGCCACAATGGGATTGCTGCTTTCGATTTGTTGAAGAAGTCTGGTGAGTTTCGTAATATTTTGTTCAATTATTGTAGCATCACGTTGATACTGCTCTATATTAACCAGGGATTCCTGCATCCATATGCTGAGCCTTCCGCCCCCGTTAGGAGGTTTCAAGCCCCTAGTTAAACTGCCATCGCGACTCAAAATTTCGGGTGTCCTTGGAATACCTAGAAAGGAACAATCAACCGTGTTTGCTCATTTTGCATTTTGGACGTTTTGTGTAAAATGCCGATATTTTAATGGTAATTCCTGTGTATAATATTTTTTATGAGTGAAGGAATAACGGGGTTTCCAGTCGAATATGCTTTAAAAAAAACTTTTTCAATTTTAACAATTTATCAATCTTTCATCTTCGAATGGATACTTCTTCAGAAAAAAGTAAAATTAGTTTAAAACACTTCAAAATTAACAACAGCAAAAATCAGACGTTAATTTTACTGGTGTAAAATTTCCACATCAACAACGTAAGTTCTTTCATCACTTTCACAATGGAGAAGGAAGTCCACAACGAATTGCCGAATTGGTGAAGAGGACCGACACTAAATGGGAAACATCTGTATACCGAAAACCCACCCATACAGGATAGTATCTGATCCAGGAATCCCCAACTACCATCAATCGACTAAGAGAGGAATCATCAAAACTCTACTAGGAAAATGAACTAGGCATCATCAAAAATGACCTTCAACGAAATGGTTACAAAGTGATGGTGGAACAGGCTTTAGACAGCAAGAGCTCCAAGGAAAAGAAGCTGCCACAACCAGTACTTGTACTTCCCTACATTAGAGGATTGTCGGAAAGGATAAGAAGGATTGGGTCCAAGTATAACATCAGAACCTGCTTCTGATCTGGGAACACCATCCGCAGCACTCTCACGAAAACCAGGCCACCTAACGGGGACTGCGATTCCATGAATTGCATTTACCGGATACCCTGCGAGTGTGGAGAATCATACATCGGTGAAACTAAGAGGCCATTGAAAGTTCGCATTGCCGAGCACAAGAAACACACACAGCGAGGAGAAACCAGCAAGTCCGGAATGGCAGAGCATGTTTGGACTCATCAACATAACATCAAGTGGGCTCAAGCTGAAATCATCCACAAGGAGGAACACTGGTTTAGGAGAAAATTCAAAGAAGTCGCATATATGTTGTCCCACAACGCATTTAGATAAGCTAGCGTAGAGATACGTAACATATGGAAACCTCTAATCAAGCGAACCACGACCAATTTCCGCCAAACGGTCAGCTTCCACTAAAACCGAAGCGGAGAGAGGGAAGAGGGGTTAGGTGAAAGCAGTCGAATGACCTATAAATAGTCAGATCTCGAAGGAATAAGTCCAGTTATCACCCGAAGACGACTGTGGATACTAACAATGGAAACGTCGTGTAGTAACTTCATTTGGAATCTTTTAATTTTTATTTTTCATTTCTTATTAACAGTATCAAATGCCTTTCAAGTTAAATGATACAAGGAGGTATACTTTACTGCCTTTGTAAGTCTGTCGCAACGTCTAAAGCTGCTGATTCTTTCACGTGATCTGAGAAACCCATCTTGATGACCGTGCTCTAATATAGAAGTTAATTTTGAATATTATTAGTGAGGTAGATATTGATAGTTTTCATTATTTTTATCATTTTTCTATATTGTGAGTTTGACCATTTTCATTTTTTCCAGGAATGATTCCTGTATCAAAAGATAGATTGGTTGATTTGACTGGAGTTTTTCTATCATCTAGCTAGATTAGATCTCATTTTTTTTTAACTTGAACTGATATCAAGAACAGATTGTGCTAATGGTATACCAGCAGCAAGATCTAATCCAGCCCTAACAACATTTTCATTTGGTGTATATTTGGTGCGCTTTTTGTTTATCAGACTGTTAATGTGATTCATTGTTGACTCTGAGGTCATGTTCATAAAAACTCACTTTAGATATTATTTGCACATTTCAACATTTAAAGTTTAACACAATTAAGGTTTTGAAATAATAATTTGGATTAGTTTCTTGTTTCTATTAACGGGAATTTTTATTTCAGGAGCTTGTATACATTGAAAAAAAGAATGTTTTTTCTGAAACACTGTTAAGTTTTTCATGGTTTTTCCAAACTTACAAATAATTCATCCGGAAATGTATAACCCCCAAAGTGAAAAATGCCAGTACTCTTAAATCGTCTACTTCCAATGACCCATTCACTACAAATGAAAAGTTCAACAAAGTTCACGATAGTTGATTAGCATTACACGAAGTATGTATATAATGACTTCGTTATCAGACAATAAATATCAAACCCATAAAGGTATTGTTCTGCATACTCATGCACTTTCTTCATATTGTACTGATTTTGAATAGAATTATGACAAATGAAGTTGATATTTACACTGCAAACGATCTTTAGACACCTTAGAAAGAAATTGGAAAAAAAATATTCAAATATACTCACCACGAAACCTGTCAAAAAACCTGAATAATCCACCAATCATTATTAGGAGTACCTTATCTGTGCCGCTATGTACTATTGCCATATACTAGACAAAATATTTGAAATAGAAAAATTTGTTTTTTTTTCTGATCACATTATGCTCAATTCTCAGGATTTCTTAACCTCCAAAAAAACGTTTGTTTTTACTGATTCGTCATAAACGTCTCTCGTCAGTCGACGTGTTTCCTTGGCTTTTGGTTTCGAAATGGTAAATTTATTCCATAAACATTGTATCAACCATTGTATAGCTTCGAAATGAATAAAGTTGAAAGACATTTGATACTAACAAACCAATAAAGATGTAATTTTCATTTGACGATAGTTCAAAGCATAGTTGGACTAAAAAGTAGTGTTTTACTATTAGACCGGGAATCTTAGAAATCATTAATTTGTTTGAATATAATATGTGATTAATAAATAATCAGTAATTTTGAGTGGTTAATTAATTATTAAAGCTTGAACTCAATGAATCACTGTAAAAATTTGGGCATTTTTATTGACAGTAATCTGATGTAAGAAAATAATGTTGCTCAATTGGTGCAAATCATTATGTATTATGTAACACTTTGATTCTGTCATAACTAGAGTATTATGTAATTTATTGGCTTCACTCTTGTGTATTTTTTGAATCTCTGTAAATACAATCACATTACCAGTAGGTTTATGTCTACAAACTGGTTTTACTTCTATTAGAGATTCATTTTGAAAATGCCGTGTACCCATATATTTACCATTCGGTTAAAAATGCCACATTAGAGTGACAGTTATAGAACAAATACTCATCGTAGAGCAGTAGTAAAATAATGTGTAACAATTTTAAACGTATTTTGAACAGTATTCTTTTGAACTCATAGTTCAAAGATAAATAAAATTTGTTTTTATAAATATTTCAACTTTTGTTTGATATTCATCTTGCATTTCATTGATTTTTCATTTCTCTCCATACAGTAGTTTCTCAGGCAAAAGTTAAAATCTCATCGCCCCACGTTGGGCGCCGAATTTCGCCCGTTCCTCAAAGTAATCCCTACACCACTCCCAACAGTGATGCCACGTTTCCCTATAAATCTCGAACTCTACTTACTGTGCAACCCATCCATAGGCTTGAACAAAGCTCCGACGTTCGTACCATACGTCAAAATGTGCTGTCTGAAGAGACGATGCGCCGTCAACTGTTGCACCCAGTTGGAGAAAGCATCGTCACTCTTTGCTTTCAAGTGATAAATGAACTCTTCGGCGTCTATGTCGATGCGTTTCCTCTTCTGCTTGGTGGAGATGACCGAAAGACCGATATCGAGAGTGCCGTGGATTTTGCCCTTATTGATTTCCGAAGGACCTTTGCCGTAGATTAAGATTCCTTTATCGATGATGAAATATCTCTGAAAAGCAAGGAAAATATATGTTGTCACAACAAGGACTCATACTATACACCTAATTTCTAATAATATTTTTCAACTTGGATTACTTAACAAACAGGCTTGCTGAAAGTCATATTTTCGTCTACTGACAATTTTTGCCACTTTCAGTATTTCTGGAAATTACAACGAATGGAATACCGTGTATATCGTTATATTTTTGGATTCCTTTCAATTTTCTTTATCCAATATATCATATGTGATTTTCAAATGTCCTTTCATCTACATTGATATCTTTCGTTTTAAAACCCCTTCAATATTATTCAAATGACCCAACAACACGTATATACTCATTTTGCAGTTCTAATGTTACTGTTTGGTCGGTCGGTAGCCAAGCGGTTCGGCGTGGGTGCTTTGTTCACTCACTCGAATTGACTGCCGTGTTGGTCGGTGGTTCAAGCCCTAGTCTGAACAATCAATCTTCACTTGCCATCGTCCAACCCGTGTTAGGAATCACACGTTAAAAGGTGAGGCCTCGTTAATCCTTAGCTTGCACAAGTTTGAACTTCTGAGAGTTATCGTTCGTAGAGGTGCGACAGCTGGTTAACGGAAAAACAGATTTTAAACAGATTTGAACCGCGTTCATCAGCTGCTCGGGCAGCTGCCCTGAAGAGAAATGCTCCAATTCCTGCTCTCTCATAGTCACGGACCATGCAAAGAAGGGGGATCCAAACACCTGACGACTTTACAGGCCATATCCAGTACCATTCTGTCATGTAAACACTCCAAACTCAAAAGTCCACGGCCTCCCTGTTGTTGGGAGAAGTACAACCGTGGAACGGACGATTTGGGATGCAAACTCCTATAGAAATGCATCATTTTTCGGGTCTTTACGTCGAGTTGATACAGCTCTTCCCGAGTCCACTTCACTACTCCAAACAGATCTGTCGAAGTTTGTGCTGATACTTGCCGCGGAGAGAGTTCTTCATTGCTGTTACCTTTTGTGAGTGACGTTGTTCCACCCCGAGATAAGTATACATCTCTCCGGCATCCAAATGGCGTAGGATTCTTCCATCTACGAGCTGCATATCCTCTTCGTAGTCCCCGCATCGTACTCTTTTGAGATGGATCATTGCACATTTGTCTATCCCGAATTTCATACCGATAGTATGCGTTTACTCTTCCACCACCCTCAAGGACTGATGGAGATCCTTCTCTCCAGAGGCATAAAGTTTAAGATCATCCATAGGTGACCTTGTGCCTCCGGTTTCGGGGGGTGCCACAGTTATATCCTCGGGTATTTCTGAGCGCAACGGATAATGGCAATTGAGATGCAGAAGAGAAGGGGTCTGAGGGAATCGCCCTGAAATACACCCCTTCTGAAAGGGACCCACCCTGTTTGGACTCTGGCTTGACCAGATGTTGTGGTAAAGCGAGTTCGCCAGAGTGGTATCAGTTGTTCAATGCATCTCACTATTTTGTCGGGTACCGCAAAGCATCTGAGCAAATGCAAGATGATCTCATGCGATATTGTATCAAATTCTTTACGGTAATCAATCCTGGCCATAGAGAGGTTGCGCTTGTATTATATAGTGTCCTGCGTTACACGTCTATCGATGTGAGCAGGTTCTCTTTACATCCAGCGACTTCGATGACCGATGGCATGGATTATGTTGGCTTTGAGGACAGCTATGGTTTGTGACTTATCCACATACACCTGAAACTTAAGAAAATCCCACAAGAAAAAGTCTAACGGGATCAAATCACACGATCTCCGTGGCCAGTTCACATCACCTCCACGTGAGATGACCACGTCCTCAAATCGCTCGTGCAGAATATCCAATGTGGCGTGAGCTGTGTGGCACGTTGCGCAGTCCTGTTGAAACCACGTGTCGTTGGTGTCCAGACCATTCAATTCAGGCCAAAAGAAGTTGAATCATCGACCTATAGTGCTCGCCGTTAACAGTGATGGCCTGGCCAACGTCGTTCTCAAAGAAATATGAACCGATGACGCCGGCAGCCCAAAATCCACACCAAACAGTGACTATTTCGGGATGCTTTGGACGCTCTTGTATCTCATGTGTATCTCATTGGTATCGTCCCAAATTCGACAATTTTGTTTGTTCACGTACCCATTCATCCAGAAATGGGCATCATCGCTGAAGATGATTTTTCGATGAAAATTAAGGTTAGTTACCAACTGCTCCAGAGCTCATTCAGCGAATACACGTCGTTGTCTATGGTCTTTTACCGTCAGGAACGATGCTTGGCCCTATCTTATTTCTTATATAAATATTTTTTCATTGAGGGACTTCGAAAATAATATAACTTCTTTTGCAAACGATACAGCATTAACTTTTGTCGTCGGAAACACATGGGAAGAAGCTCATAGAAAGGTGGAGGTAGGTATAAATATAATTTTCCACTGGCTAAGTAATAATTTATTGAGTGTCAACGTCAAAAAAACTAAATGTATTGCATTTTCATCGACAAAGAAGGATCAGCCCACTATTAGAGACTAAAATCCATAAACTAACTTGCCAAAACGATAGACTCTCTTGCACTTGTCCCTTCATAGAAAAAACTGATACAATAAAATACTTAGGGGTCCTAGTGGATCAGTGCCTTCGTTGGAATGATCATATTGACTATACGGTGAAAAGATTACTTAAGCTCACTTACAAATTTTATCAGCTCAGATGTATAGTCAGTAGAAAAATGTTGCTTACTGTATATGATGCCCTGGCCGAGTCCATTTTACGGTATTGTCTAATAATATGGGGAGGAATATTCGAATCTTCCTTGCGTAATTTGGAAATGATCCAAAACTCACTCATAAAAATTATGTTCAGAAAGAATAAATGCTATAATACTCGAGCATTATATGAAGAGAGTGGAATATATAGTGTAAGAAAACTGTATACTTTCCGTTGTATATTATGGACAGCCAGTGTTACGAGTACATTTGTTCAGAATATATATAATACTAGTTTACACACTTCTCAGATTGCAAAGGTTCCACGATGCCGACTTACTCACAATCAAAAATTAATTATACAGGGTGATTCAAAAGTACTTTGACAAACTTCAGGAGGTGATTCCTCACAATATTCTAATATGAATTGTCCAAATGAATAAATGTCCGGAAACGCTTCGTTTCCAAGATACAGGATGTTGAAGTTTTATTTTTATTTTCGTTTATGCAATCACTCAATACAATGTCACAAGCTGTTGTTTTTATATCTTCTTTCGTACTTGATGCTCTTATTATACTGAAAGACTGCTCATCATTTTGTTCGTCCTTCAAGGACTCCCCAGAACTGATTAGTAGGTTTATCTTAGTTTGTAAATGTATTAGATTCGTGGCTGTAACACAAGCTTGGCTTAGGTAGCCATGATCCTTCATAGATGTAATTTATAGTTCTGTAAAATAAGCTCTAATGGTATATATTTTATATATCTGAATTGAATAAATTTTGATTTGATTTATTTGAGTTCCTGAGTCAGTTAAATTTTGTACGGGTGCAGGCCCAAGTCACGACGCAAGATTCGCCAAGTTGTGGTCTGCATAAGGCCGAGTTCTTGTGAGCGACGCGAAATCAACTGCCTCGTATTCTCCTGCATACTCTCACAGACAGCGGCGATGTTTTAGGTAGATCACGCGGTTCCTCGACATACGGTTGTTGGTCGATCGCTCACTGAACCAATGGACTCAAATTTATCCACCACATTGCGAATATTCTCTTACTATGTATTCCGATTGTCCCCCCACCTCAAGAAACTTTTTAAAAATCTTTCAAATAAAATGTAATATCCTTGGAAATTATGTGACTTCTCTGAAATAACAATTTATAATAGTTTATGTGATGGAATTGGCCGATATTTAATGAAAATCCATAACTTATTCAAGCAACAATTCATTGGGAGATTTCCAGTGTCCAGAACAACAATCATTTCTGGCGATTGGAAAAAGTGCTTATTCTGGACTGACGAAAGTTTATCGAACTTCTTTCCTGTGACTAATCATCAAGAAACTGGACTTTCTCCTGTCGCTGACCCGGATGAATAAGTGAGAAATGAATGAATTGAAAATTAGGATATCATTACAAGGGTTACAAGGTTATTTGTGGCAGTTGACCTTTAAGATAACTGATTTATCTCCCCACTTGTTTTCGAGGAGGTAAATATTGCCTTAACAGTTGTAACAAAGTTTAAATTTACTCGTATCTTCTGACGTTTCTCTCTTACAATTTTATTAATCCTTATTTCAACGTAAATGCGGATTGTCACCATTCTGAGAAACGAATTTGCGATACCGCAATACTCTTCATGGAAATAATTACAAAAAGAATACGAAATACATATTACTATTTTCTGCGAATTCATTGTAAACAGTCGAAAAAAAGTATTATGCTGTAAATACCTAACAAATTGGCCAAAAAAATGCTTTTATTCGAGTTATCGGTCATGGTTAATATTTTCATTTGAAACTGTTTGCAGGTTTTTTGCCAGAAAGTCAATAAGTGAATATTCCATCCATATACAATATGACAATTTCATATGTACCATATTAAGGAACTACCTACCCATAAGTTCAAGATACTAATTCGAAAATTATCTTATTAGTCAGTGGGCTATGCTTGAAGACTGGCAGTAAACAAATCTAAAGAAATGAACTTTAAATGTTCAAGATTTGTGTAGACAATTGAGAGATTTTAAAGTAAGTTTCGTCATTTCAGTTCATACGATTCAGACACAGAAAAAACTCGAGGTAGATATGATACGTATATGTTGAACAATTTTAGCAGAATATGTTATATAATGTGTAGATCAATTTGCGATTTGAATCTTTGAGTTCTATGATATTCGAATATTAGCTAGGGAGGGTGCCCACGTGACATTGATGACTTGAGACTGATTTAAGAATGCTGTGAAGAATTGAAAAAACTGACGAGCCGGAATAAATTGACTCTATACTGGGTGCCTGGAAACTCACAAAACACAGGCAATAAGTATGCTAGACA